GACTGCTCCTTCCCGTTCAACGTTCACTGATGATGTCTTAATCCTACAAAGTACTGATGGGAATGGTTGTCGAGAAAGTACGGTGTCATAGGTCGTGAGTGAGAACAATTGGGATTGAACTTGTTAACTGAAAACAAATTTAAATATCTGCTTGTAAAACTACTTAGCTCTGCACAAATTTGTCACTGTTTTATTTGACTTTCAAAACATCGAAGCATCTTAAGATTTGTTGAGCATGCTCGAGATGTCTGAGGGTAGCTCTTGTATTCATACATGTAAAAGTAGCCCCTACTGTAGCTGCCGATGCCTACCAATTTAATTTATGGGTTAATTCAAACGTTCAATATTCTACTGAGGAGGGTAATGCAAAAAGTAATTCGCATCCATTATTACTTGCTTAAAAATTTGTCCGCTATTAGGAATCGTCCACATGAGTTCCCTTATGCCGGGTGCACCGCATGTTGCATACTACTTCTTATACGTGTCTGTCTATGGCTGGCTGCATATCTTCCTCGCATGATGTTGGATTGCAGAGACAGAGGATTGGCAGAGGCTGGCGAGACCTGATATGTATGCGCCTGTATACTTTACAATAAATAGTACCGGAGCCGTAACAGGCAGAAGACTGGTACAACAGAACAGGCTTTATTGACCAGTCATAAAACAGAGCCACACGCCAGGTGCCGTTCATCCGAGTCCACAACGATCTCCAGGCCGCTCGATTTATACTGCTCCCTATTCGTATCTTTCCCTGGTTGGCCGCCTTCCTTCCCGCATGCCATTGGATCGCAGAGAGACACGGGATTAGCTGAGGCCAGGTGGTCCAATATGTCTGCGCCCGAACCCGACGCCACTGTAAAATACCCGAGCCCTAATAGGAAAAAGACCGGTACAACAGAACAGGCCTTGTTGACCAGTCACAAGCCAGGGCCACACGTCAGGCGCCTTCCATCCGAGTCCGCCACGCTGGCCACGCCGCTCATTATATACTGCATCTCATCCATGTCCTTCTCTGGTTGGCTGCCTTCCTTTTCCGCATGCCATTGGATCGCAGAGAGACACGCGATTGGCTGAGGCCAGGTGGTCCAACATGTCTGCGCCTTAATCCGACGCCACACCACACCACACTACTACGCCACAATTCTTTTCATAAGTTGAATCAAAATCGCACTAATTTGGAGCTTTTTGAGTTAGTTATTTACATTCCACGTTATTTGTGTAATTGTGATGTGTGCACATTCATTGCATCTTTAGATTTTCGCCATTACACGTATTAGTATTTTCGTTTCATCAGCGTACGAGACACTATCTGGACATCCGTCGGGGACTATTAATCGGGTGTGCGACAACACTTTGTTAGTGTGGAATGCGCAGACTGACTCGATGTTTTTTTGCTAAGTGGCTATACATCATGGCTGTTGTACAGACCACACATCCACATTATTAAATTGTGTTTTGATTTTCCACTTAAGTTCGTATGTGTGACCCCTTAAAATGACGAAGATTTTTGGACGCGTGGTTAACTTTAAAGATGCAATCACCGTATCAAGGCTACTTTACTCTGACTGGCATTGCTCAGTTTTCTTTGAAGGTAATACACCATTTTTGCCTAATAATGCCCCAATGCTATTAGAAGAAAGTAGCATTGCAATTGTCTGCGGGTCTGAAAAAACAAAGATTTCGTGCGACCCACGTCTTTTCTGTTCAAACTCTTCTCACTTGTTTGTTTTGACTGCCAATGGCATTATTCTATCCTTCTCTAAAGCGACGAATGTCGTAAGCCCCTTGGATTTAGCATCTTGTCGGTTCATAGCTGCGAATGATGAAGAATTGTACTGTATTTCAAGTATGTTATTTTACATATCTGAGAAGGGACGGCATTAGTGGATGACTTCCTTGTCGTATACCCAATCAAGGACCTTAACAGAAAGCCGAAACCAAGCTACCCTCTTCCTATGAAAGTGAAAACTGTCGCTTGTGGCGCTGGATTCGCATTGTTTCTCACTCCATCTGGTGTCATTTTTAGCAAGGGGATTGGCACGTAAGTGCAGGGCATACATTGTTTTACTTTAGTCGTGGTCAATTGGGTCACGGTGATTTAGAAAGTCGCTCAACCCCTGAAGCTATTGAGGCTCTCCGTCCAGTTACTTCAACTGCTATCGCTTGTGGTTTCTTGCACTCAGCGTGCTTGACGGGTACTTTGTTGCTTAAAATGTTGACGCTTACTACCGTTTTAGACACTGGTGACGTTTACACGTGGGGTTCTAACGAGTTTGGTCAATTGGGCTATACTTCTCTAAATCTTGAAAGATCAAGGCAGTTAAGCACCCCCTTCCTCCCATCCGATTTAGGCGTGAATGTGAACGCGCTTCCCGCTCCTGTCGATTTCCCTGACGATTGTCTCATTACAGCTGTATGGGTTCTTCTACATTATTTTCAAACTTGTTTAGATTGCCTGTGGAAGTCGACATACCGTCTGCCTGTCCGAAGACAGCAATTTATACTCATTCGGCTGGAATGGTTTTGGACAGCTGGGCTTAGAGCCAGAATCGGGCCGAATGGTGGATCGATATCCCTATCAAACCGCTTCTGATAGGGTCAATCGTATTAACCTACCTTTACCGTCCCAGAACCAGTTGTCGGTCACATGCGGGCACTGGTGCACCA